GAGGAAATGATTGTATCAGGTCTTCACTTTTCTAACTCACTGTCTGTCAACTGTGCACCTCCAGGCTGACTTTCTATGAAGCACTGAGAAATGGTGAATAGTTGTAACAAGTTTACACTGCCTCAAACTCCTGCAATAGTCTCATTCATCAAGTCAGAAGTTTAACTTTCCTCATGTCTTGCAAGGTCTACTCCATTTTGATATAGCAGATTTTCTTTTGTCACATGCCTTAGTTCACATACCTTTTTTATAAAAAATTCAAGACTTACTGACAAGCTCAAAGTAACAGACATTTTCAACAAGCATTTCAAAGTCTACAAGTCAAGTCCATTATAGTTCCTTTATAATCCAGACTTGCATCCCTTGCAGAGTGTAAAAAATACAGGCTACAATGTAAAAAGTTGCAGTACAACAGGAGAGCTATTCCAATAAGTTTCTAAACAGAATCTGGGACCATCTTCTTCCTCTCCCTCTGCCCCTCCTCCCCCCAAATATTCACATATATATTTTACCTCTTTCCACATTTACATACAGTTTGAATAAACACCAAAAAAGTTGTTGCTCTGTTTTGGCTCAGTGGATCTTCAATGCAGATATTCAAGTATTAAGAAAATGCAGCTGAACAAGGATATGTGTCCTCATAGTACAGTTTACAGAGAAGCACAATATTGACTAGTCTGCAGTATATTCTACCCCAAATCCCTGAAGAAATCTTTTTAACTTTGGGATCTGTAGCCTGCTTCCAGAGCTGGCGAAGATCATCCACATGCCCGTGAGATGTCATCATCTTGTTATAAATGCAGGGATGATATGGAGTCTTTCCTTCCCCAGAAAAAAATACATGATATTGTGGTACAATTCCCATTTTATTGGCACAGAGACCCATGAAAACATCATCTATATAAAGACTTGTATTGAGAGTCAATGAAGCCTCATAGACTTTAGCTGCTACATCGTTTGATATTACATATGCAGCTCCTGCAGTATAGTCAGGGTAAGAGAGCCACTGGTACATTTCATATGGAACATAGTATTTGCTACTCTTGTCTCTTATGGGAGGGGATCCGCGATGGACACGACCAATCCAGAGATCTTGAACACCCATTTGTGCTAGACTTTGGAGATAAGCAACAAGATTTGGCATATGGATAAATATATCATCATCTGCAGACATAATGAACCTGGCATGAGGACAGTAGGCATTCACCCAGCTGAACTGCAAAAGCAGTTTCAGAGTAAGATTGTGAAAAGTATCCAAGAAGTCTTGCTGAATCAAATCATTGTATTTCTGGTCTTCGAGCTCAAGTTCTCTTTGCTGCTGTGTTTGCTGCAGATGATCTCTTGGCCGTCCTAAAGCAAAAAGAGTTTTGATGTTGGCATTAAGTTGAGAACGAACATACTTCTCATTACCCCAAGTCTGTCTAATTGCATCCCTCCGATGACGGTTTTCAGGAGAAGTCTTCACAAACAATAGGAGAAGGACATCCTGCTGCTGACATTTCTCTCTGTGGTTGATCAAGTATTGGTAGTTTGATACTCTGTCCAGGTTATCCCTGCTGACAGACAGGCTGTCATTCACAAAATGGTAGCTATTTATGAGGTATCTGTATGAATAGGACTTCATATGGTTCACAATGTGATTATCAAATGGTCCCCAAAAAATCATGAGGCACAGTATGAAGCAAGTGGCAAATATCTGCAAAAAATGGCATTTTCTGACTCTTCTGGGACTAACAAACATTCTGATGCAGTTTCTATAATCCCTATTCTTGTTCAGGATCA